TATAATAATTACTCCCTCCGTCCTATAATGATCTTCCCAGAGCACTATTCCAACTTCACGGGAATTTATATTTATTTGTGTTTTTTCATGGCCTATATGATAAAATAAAATATTCTTGTCACCACTTGTTTTGTTGAACTTTTGATGTAGTTTTTAAATATGTATGTTTTATTTTTTATTTCTATACCAATATTTAAATAAAATAGATTGAAAAAACTTGGGTTTTTTCTTCGTTTTGCGAACCGGGAAGATCATTATAGGACGGAGGGAGTATTATTTGAGCTTTTTAACCAATCCATTAAATGCATAGATAGAGAAAATCTTTATATATTTGATAGATTAGACATAAAGCATTATTTTCCCAATGTTACTTTATGGAGCCACGCAATGATTAGATAACACATAATGATTAGACATAAAGCCACTTTATGGAGCATGCCCTATTTATAGGCCAATACCAGTCACTTCCCTTGTCTGGCCCATACCCGAATTCCTTTGCCAGTGATTTTGGCAGGAACACTATTCATCAACTCATCCTAGCATTGTATGTAGGAGGATAATTCTAAGAACTTAATAATATCGTGTTGAATAATGAAATAACTTTGTTACTCAAAAAGTTAATTAGTGTACATGAGAGTATTTATAGAAAGTGATTTTGACATAATCGATAATCAACTCAATATAAAGACTCATTAATATATGAGTACTACCATAGTTAGAATTACTATTAATATTATTACTGTCTAAATTCTCCCATCAAGCTTAATCATTGTGAAACGAGAGCCTTGTGTCATTGAGAAGATGTCTTTGTGAGCAAATCGAAAAGGTGGTCAACTGGGGAGACATGAAAGACAATCATAGATAGTTTCAACAATTACTTGTTCTTGGACAAAGTGACAACCATTGCCAACATGCTTCATACGCTTGTGGAATACATAATTCTTAGTCAAACAAATAGCAGACCTATTGTCACAAAACAAATACAAATGAGGTAGTCGTATCTTCAAGACATTAAATAGATAGGTCAGCCACATTACCTCAGACACAGTAGAGAAAAGAGCATGATACTCTACCTCGGTCGATGATCTGGAGACACAACTCTACTTCTCTATACTCAATGAAATAAGTTTAGTACCAAAGTAAATCAAG